GGAAGAAGACGTAAGAAGATGCTGGATGACCTTGGGGACAGAAGAGGATACTGTCATTTGAAGGAGAAAGCTCTAGATCGCATTAAGTGGAGGAATTGTTTTGGAAGAGACTGTGTACCTGTCGTCTTGACAGAATACTGATGATGTGTATATAATTGACGAATATTTTAAAATACTTTTTAAATAATTTTACATTGACATAATGACATGCAATGCAATAGATTAGTGTAAATGGAGCACCTGATGATGGCACTATGGTGCCGAAACATGTTGTGAAGTGACAGGTGAAAGTGGATGCACTGCAAGACAGACACTGTATATATATCATGGACGAGAATCAGTGCAACAGGACGCTAAAATACAACATTATTCATGATCGTATTGATCAGAATATATGAAACTATAGTTTGCTTATAGTTCTGCATGGGTGGTAAGCCTGGATTCTCACATTAATGGAAGAACACATACGGAAGGTAATATTATACTGTAGAATCCTGTTGCACTTTTCACTTGGCGTCTACTATTCACAGTGTTACATGCCACTAAACTTGTTAAAAAGTTTAAAAAGTTAACAACATGTTTCGGCCAATATGGTGATCATCAGGTGTTAAAATCTTTTTGATGAGGAAACCGCTGTCTTCCATTGTTCCCGACAAGACAAGGCAAGACACGCAGCAAAACACGTAAGAAGGAAGAAGACACGCACCAACTCCAACACAAAAGCGCATCGAAGGCACATGCATGTGTATTAACAAAAGAAGGCAGCTCCTCTCTAGCAGAAAACACACAGCATCTCGATTACAAAAACCAAATGGTTATAACTGTTTTGAAGAATAACTATTTTTTTATTACAAGAATTCTATAAAATCCATGAATACACAGTGTGGGAAGAATTCAGATATTTATTTAAATGGAAAGCGTATTTTACATATAGTTACCACTGTGCTTCAGAAGGGTTAACACTCACATCCGTTCATGTGGCTGAGTACCAGCTAATGAAAATGTATGGAATCATAGAGTTACAGCTCCACACAATCTGCAGGTGGAAGCTTCCCCAAGACGCGTGTCAGATGGGACAATGGGCGAATCCCGGACATGGCAGATCCTTAAACGAGACCGTGCTCTGTCTCTCCGTTTGCCCGGCCGCAACTCTGTTATTAATTTAAATATAATATTTTTGTTGAAATAAATTATAAAAAGTAACGCCGTTTTATAGAATCGCCCTCTAACACGGCAGTGAAGTGACACCTTCTGTTTATTTGGAAGTTCTGGGTTCAGATCTAGGCCGGTACACCGACTACTTTGAATGGCTTTCCATGACTTTTCTCAGTCACTACAAGTAAATTTCGGGATTATACCTGAAATTACCTGACCAATTCCTTCCCCATCCTTCCCAGTTCTTTGTGTACTGACCTTCCTATCATTCGAAGCGGCATAGTCCGATATTATGACAGAGATATTTAGTGAATCATCAAACACTGTGCCCTTCTGAATAGCCGGACGAACTACGTTTGATCATACGAAGCGTACTCTGTCCCTGCTTCTGAACCAGACAAGTTGCTTCGCGGCGCCATCTTGCCATGCTGTATGCAGATTCTAAACTCATGCGTCTGTTGGAGAGTTTTAGTGACTTTCAGATTTTAACCAAATATATGTCAGCATTGTGACCTCTTCTGCGGTCTAGTGGTCAGAGTTCCTGGCTACAGATCCAGAGGTCCGGGTTCGCTTTCCGGCGCTACCAGATATTTTTCTGAGAAGTAGTGGGTCTGGAACGGGGTCCACCCAGCCTCGTGATGATAACTGATGAGCCATTTCAAGGAAATAGCGGCTCCGGTCTAGAAAATCGAAATTAACGGCCGTGGGGATCCGTTACGCTGACCACGTGACATCCTCTATCCTCTAAAGTTAGCACTAACTTCGCCGACAAGCGGCGGTGGCTCGGTCGGTATAGTTCGCTTGCGGACTAAATCCACGGAGTTTTTTATGTCAGCATTGTGCCGACATCTTGTTGTTCGGGTTTTTATGAAACGTTACTAAAATTAAGATAGCCGTTCAGCAGTGTAATTCATATTATTATTATTAACGCAGCCCTCTAAGTGACAAGGGTGACTATGCACCACTTCATTTACTCGTAATACAAATAGAGCTCTACAATTTCTCCACAAAATGCATGCATCTCTCAACAAACAGCTATTATTTGCCGCAATAACATTAATCGATTGGTCTTTTCAGTGGGCACGCGATTTTTCTATGAGGTGAGAACGGAATTTTTAAATATCATTTAGATAAACTTTAGACTTCAGATAGGCTGCGCCATAGCTCAAGCGGTTAGTCGCTGGCTTCCCACCGCGGCGGCCCGGGTTCGATCCCGGGTCTGGTCAAATGCGATTTGTGGTGGACAAAGTGGCGCTGGGGCGGGTTTTCTCCGAGTACTTCGGTTTCCCCTGCCAATCTTCATTCCACCAAATTCTCCATCATCATAATCACCCGGGGCAGGCTACAATAGGCCAATCAGTGGCTGCCGTGCCGAGTTGACTCAGTTGGACTCCATCCCCCCCACTAAGCGAATTAGAAAAAAATAGACTTCAGACAGTTTTGTGCTCATTTCTTCTTCCGTTTTCTGTGTTCCATTAGTATGGATGCGCAGAGCATCTTGGAATGTAAAGTTCGGCATCTTCTTTCCGAGCTGTACCGCGCGACACTGGTGCTATACAGCTTTACGAAAAGTCAGTTCCGTAATTATTCGACAGTAGTAGCAGTGTTTGTTGGCCGAAGGCATTAAGTCGTCCATATATTCGTAATCCTAGGATCCTTTTGAAATCGTACCGGACGGATTTGTGGTTATTGCGAACGTAGAACTACTGACGGTAGGGTACTTCTGCGATTCAGGGGTCTGTGGAAAACCACGGAAACATATCCAGCCGGTCGCAGTGTAGAATTATGTGATCCGGTGTGCCATTTGTTGTAAGCGGCCGAGCGTTCCACTCGGTATCTGATCGTGCGGCACGAGGACATGCGCTTGTCCGTGTGTCCGAGCGTCATGGCGTGTGGACCCAGGCCATACCTGAACCACTACAGTATTAAGATTAATCTTAGAGGATCAGGGTGTGAGGGTGATGACTGCATTCAGGTGGCACTGTTAGTACCAGTGACTGACTTTTGTGAACACGGTAATGAACATCAGGGTTACATGAAATGTGGAAATTCTTTGATCTGAAGAGCGTCTGTACGATTCTGAGGGAGTATTTTCCTCCAATTCAACGGTAGGAACTTACTCAACTCAAGAATGCGAATATTAGCGTCGCCATGTGCGTCCGTAGGTAGGTCCCAGTTTCGTTTAAAATCGAATAAGCGCGACAGACACTGTCCATGGGTTTGCTGTGCTTATGGACCGTATCTCGCCAAATGTTCAACTTGTAAAGAGAAATGAAGCATACACAAATGACCGATACACATTTTTCTGTGAAATTTACCCTTTTTGAGATAATTAAAATGGGGAGGGAGAGTGTCCTGCCGTCTAGAGACAATAACAGAGTTTTCACGCTAGGAGTACACTTCCTGATTTCCCAACTGATATGAGGAACGTGGGAAGTAGGGGGCGTGGCCGACCTGGTGCTGCCCCCAACACCTTGCCGGTTCAGTAACATTATGGGAAAATCTGTGCGCGTTCCCAATTTCGTCCAAATAGTTATACATATATGTACGGCGTTTCTGACTCCGTATGCAGAAAGACGGAGAGACTACTGTGGGTGTCCGCCCGACAGAATCATCCCTTATCGCTCTACTGAGACAACAGAAAGGAGCCCCATGGAAGATGGGGCTGATGGCGGTGGAGACTTCACACTCTCTACCTAGTACTGTATTTACCTCCAAGCCCCTCTGACCTATGTCAACCGGTTAAAAGTGAATGTTTTGTTGCTAGCGAAGATTATCAACGTGAGTGTGAACAGAATGAGTAGACGAGTGGAGGGAGGTATAAGGAAGTGCTCTGGAGGGAGACGCATTACACGTAGCGAGGGCTGTACGAGATTTCTTTCCATGGCCTTAGTATACACGTGATCCTGATCAGAAGCAGGTTCTGTAGAGACAGCATCAAGAAATTAACTGCGGAACACCTCATGAAGGCGTGACAAAGCGTCAGAAGGGATGGATAGTCACGTCGAAAAACATGTGTACAGGACTCTGCAGCCTCCTGGTTTGTATTCTGGAGGCCCTGTGTTTAAATCTCCACCAGGAGACCTGCTGCCGTAACCTCACTTACGTGCTACAAATAGGTTCTGTGGCCAGGCAACTTAAAGCTTATAACCCTTTACAATTAAAACAAATCCTGTAAAGATCTTTTCTGTTACTGTACAAATTCCAGAAAGCCCGAGAAAAATATGCCCACCTCAGCGTACAGGAGCTCACTAAGCGGGAACATGCTAACTGGACGCTGTTCCACACCTAACTGAAGGAGAGTTTGGCCCGTCATTTTGTTGCGGTGGTGTTTTTTTTTTTTCAAGATATGAAGCTGAAGGGTTCCAGCTGTATGACACAGACGCACAACACACGCATAAACGTTATCAGTTGAATAAAATCCGTCTCAAAATTGGGAACGGGTTTTCAACAGCAGTACTCTTATTACACAGCTATGAAAGCAGCTGTTGTCCGCCCTGGAGAAGATATTCTTGTTGGCGTGTTTCAGGGCAGCCTTCGCCTCGTGGCTGCTGATGAACCTACTGCTGGTCGTGGTGCCCCGCTACGGAGCCTTCGCCATGATAGTGACGGGCATGCTGCTCCTCAGCACTGACCTCGTGTACTACATGCTCATCCCTTACAACCCCCTGGTTGTGAGGTTCGAAGGGAGTGCACTCATGTTCCGGCTGGGATGGTGTTTCTGGCTTGTGATGACAGCAGGTGACACTTACTTTATCAGTTGTTATTTGCGTTTCATGGCCTGTCCGCCTCATTTGTCCCTAGGTTATGCTACCAATGTTTAACATTACCGTGGTAAAGTAACCCCCTGGCACTGAATTGTAAATATGTATAGTGAATAGAGATGAATGAGTAAGAAGCCGTAGTGGCCTGGTTCATCCCCCAGAACTTTAGAGGAATACCATGAAATCTCCCAATTTATTCCTAAGATTCAAAGCTGGTAGCATTTGAGTGCAAGTGAAACACATTAACATTTGCATTTAACATAAGCATTTGAGCTAGACAAAGTGGAGATAGATGGTACTATGCCCTTAAATTCTCTAAGATATATTATTTGTATTAGCAGTTACAAAAGATGGAGATGATGCAAGTTTTAGAGGCTATAGCTGACAAGCATAGTGCTAGTGCTAGCGGAAATTGTGACCAGAAATATATTATGAAATTAAATAAGTAATTTAAGTTCTTTCTGGTAACATCATGAATAATACATTGAACTGTTTAAAGAAAAAATGCCTTAAAACCTCCTGAAGCAGTACTTTTGACACTCAGAGATTGCTTGAAGCTAACTTTACCCTGTGTTTTGCCACATACAGCATATGTATCAGTGAGATGATGTGTCACTTGCAGTTGTACCTACAAATATAGTCCTTTATCACTTATCTGCAGCAGTCTCTTCATTTTGTAAAAGTGGCCTGATGTTAATCACAGTTCTTTTCACATAATAAGTGGTGACCTCCTGCCATCTTGGGATATGTAATAGGTTGAGAACGCAAGAAGGGTAGTGCGCTGTCTGTCATTTTGTTTTCTCCCCTTCATTACAGTATTTTGTTTGTATATATGTTGTATGATGTGTTCTTTTCATGAAGTATTTATTTCCTTAAGATACATAATAGTTATTCACATTAATTTTCTTAAGTATTAGTGGACAGTACTTAGAAACTGAATTGTGTTAATTTCATCAAAGTAGATTGTGATGTTAAAAATGTGTATGTGAAATTATAAATCTGTGTCCTTATGTGTTAGTTTCCTGAGTAGCTGGTTTCCCTAGTACACAGAGTATGTACTTTTGTTTCAAATTTGGTGAGCACTCTAAGGAAGTAAATGGAAGAGTGTTCATGTTTATATTAAAGTATCAGTCCTAGCTGCTTGGTAAGTAATTCCAAAATTTGCCGTTTATTACATTTATTAACATTATATATTAGCATTAAATAAACAAGAAATTGAATTGAATTCCCCATAAACATAACAAATGGCTCCAAAGTTGAAAGGCAAGGAATACCTCTTCCCTTTTTAGGTAAACAGGTAAAGCTATCCCTATAACAGGCCTTTGAGGTCCATATGTTTGTGAGACGTTGAGGCCTCCACACTTTGTAGACAATTGGCTTACAGATGGCGGTGAGGTTGTCAGCCTTATGCACGGGCCACTCTTAACCCCCCAGGAAAGTTCCTGGTTTTCAGTTCTGTTAGAGGCTAAGTCAACTTCAGGGCCACAGTGTGGCTGGAAGGATTAGCCAAATTTAAAAGATTCATTGCCCTCATCAGGAATCGAACCCGCGACCTTCTTGCAACATAGTGCCTTAACCAGCTGCACTGCTGCATGCCCCATTCCCTTTTTTAGGTACATTAAAAATCACATAGAGCCCCTATTGATATTCTCTGTCCATCCGTCTGTCCATGTGCATGAAAATGAACTTAATAACTTTGGAACGGATTTTTGTGAAATTTATGTTGTAGAATGTCATTACAATTTATCAATACATTCCAGTTTTCATTAAAATTTTGAAGAAATTAGAGACACCTTACAAGAAGACCTTGTATATCTGTGTGTACTGTTTTAGAGAAAATTAAACAAGATTTTATGCATGTATTCTCCACAACCAACAACTGTTATCCGAACACACGTGAAGAATATTAAATAATCAACATTGGTTTCCCAGACACACATGATGATTACCAAAGCCTCTTATTCTTGATAATAATAATTAAATGAAACTTCCTTCCACCTGAATTCATAGATCTAACGGTTAGATTCTAACCAAATGCCAATTCAGAGATAAAGCCCTCAATTTAAAGGTATCTCAGGGAATGCAAACAAATGTATATGGAATGATGGGAAAGTGATGATTAGCAGGAGAAAGCTGAAGAAATGCGGAGATAAATCCTTTTAAGTGCTACTTCATCCACCACAAATCTCACATGAAATCACTTGGGATTGAACCAGAGTCTTCCATGATGAGAAGCCATCATGTAACCACCTAAGCTATGACATGTCCTCATGTAAATATTGTGACATGACGCCTAAATAGTCAAAATTCTCATTGTTGAGGTGTCCATTGCAAAACACTGGTTTGTTAAAACATGTTTCCATGGAAATGAATAAACACAACAGTAGAGGAGCTGTTTGGAGGTGACATTTCTGAATCTGTCCATGAAAAAGTTATATAAAGAGAACCAGTTAGACCTGAAGGAGAGTTGGGAGAGGCAGCGTCATGACTTGGCCTGATTTGTGAGACCGTAAAATATGGTCATATGTCCCACGAGGCCCCCAGCCTCCATAACCAAGAATGACTGTTGGAGAAGGTCAGCATTAGTTTGGTCCAAAACCGAAACCAGAGGGGAGTTGTTGAGCACAGAAGTATTGTGGAGAGTCCCTGTTGTTGGACAACATTACCAAGCAATAACTGCATGGAGATATAGGAGAGTAGAAACACTTGGAAAGTGCTGTTGTTATTAGTAGATTGTGAAGAATAACAGAAGTGTTCTAATTTTCTCTAATTAAGAGTAATAAATTTCCAATAAACTCAGCTGTCAATCCAGATTCTCTAATCACTACCACATGACAAATTTATCTGTTTGAATTATAATTTTACATAAGAACACAGATATCTCTTGGTGGTTCAAGGTTAATCTGGGCTTTATCTTTTACTCCTGATGATGTGAACTCCAGAAAAAATTAATCTCTTTCATGGACAACTGGTGGCAACACTGCGCTCATTGCCTGGCAGGTGGCCATGCACCCTGCTTCTGTGCATTAAAGCTAGTACAAAGTGGCATCAGACACTGTCATTCCTAGTGCAGGACAGCACTGTATAACCAAAGTTCTAGTGAAAGGGAAAGTGAAACCAGCAGAAATTCTTCATGAGCTAAATTCACAGCATGGAGAAGAGACCCTTTGGTTGGTTCAGTAAGCTTTCTGAAGCCCCAAAATTTCAAGACACAGCTGTTAGCTGGCGAGATCATGGCAAGTGTGTTTCAGGATTCAGGAAGACTGATTCATGCTGACTTTCTTCCAAACTGTGTAATAACTGACGCACAGTATTACAGTAACTTTCTTCTCAAAAATGTGGACCAAGTGGCCTGGGAAACTCAGAGATCGTCCTATTGCATGATAACACTTCTCCAAATATGGCATATTTAACAAAAGTGAAATCGACAGTGATTCTGATTTGTTTCAACCAATTAAGGCGCAGCTAGGAGGACAGAAATGTCAGATTGTTGACAAACACAAACGTGGTGTCCTGAACTAGCTACTTGGTCAGGATGAAGCCTTTTATGATGCTGGCATCAGTAATTGCCAGGCTAATGGAAAAATGTGTTTGTGTAAAGTGGGAGTTTTGTGCCTGTGGCAATATATCCATTTTGTAAAAAATAAATAAATAAATACAGTCCAGATCAACCTTGAACCACCTACATACTTTAAATATTTGAGCTTAGCTTATTATTGCCAGCGTGTTTTTTTTTATAGTCCTACTGCTTTTAAGCGTACTGTTTTGCTTGTGCCTGGCATAGGCAATCATGGAAATGAAAACATTTTCTGTGTTGTTTATTGAAAGTATCAGGATATGCTAATCTATAAGTAAAGACTGAGGCCTTTATGCACTGGATCATTAATTTTAAGCCCTGAAGAGCTGTGTGCAGCTACTGAAGAATGACTTCTACCTAAGCACATACTTCATGAGTGAGGATGGTACCACCGTGGTTCAGAGCTAAAATTTAACAGCGGGGTCATTGTAAGGCTATTTTATTTATGGTTTATTTAATTGAATTGTCAGTAGCAAACTACATAGCACTGAATGGGAGGGTGATCAGTGGACACTATGAGAAAGTAAGTAGTCCTGGCGTAATTTGAAGTATCCCCGCATTTGCTTGAAGAAACTGAAAAATTCCGTGATATATATTCCGTCCTTGCCAAGATTGGAACTGGGTGCCTTCAAAATACAAGTCAGAAATCACTCAGTTTCTGCTGACATCCATACTCACAGTCATCTATGTGTAGGATTAAAGAATTCACTGCATATTGCTCCATTTTGCCATGGGCCATATTTAGTGGCAGTAGCCATGCAACTGAAATGAGATTTTACTGTCTGCTTACAGGTGTATTGTGCATAGCTGTAGGTCTTGTGATAGCAATTATAGACGTCATCTATCCTCATCGCTTCTCCACGATACTAGAAGTGGATTATGACACTCCATATGATCGACACATCATTATAGAAGAGAGTCATGACACCAGAAATAACAAAAAGAGAACTTCAGCAAACAGACTGGAGGAACCTACAGGTGCTGGTCTGGGGTCCCGATTACTCAGGTAACTTTGTATTTTCCTCACTAGAATCCATGATTTGTAGGCCAGTGTTCCAGGTACATCTCATACAACAGTGTTTGTCAACCAGTGTGATATGATGTTGTGACAATCAAAATTCATACACAATTGTATGCAGCAGTTCATAAAGTGCCATAACAGAAGTGAGACATCGCATGGGGTGTCAGGTTCTGGGGATGATGAGCATGAAGATTACTGTTTTCTCAGATGTGAAGATGGAAGCGTCAGATACCTCTGAAATGTTGGCATTTATCTGCCAATCTACACGGCTCAGATAGATTCTAAAGGATTTTCACGATGATGTATAATACTCAGACTTTGTCCATCATCAGGTGTTCAAGAAACTACAAGTAGAAACTACTTCCATGAATGTGTGTGCTTATCACATATTTTGCTCTTACCTCACTCCAATCCCTCCAAATGAACCCGATCTCAGGTAACTAAATAGCTGTAGTGAATCTGACAGGAGCTGTCCCATGATTGAAGTTAGCTCTTTTTGAGGGACCCAACTGAGTAGGTGTCTTCGCACCTCACCTGAGGACGGAAACAGAACCAGTTTCCAAAACGTTGTGCTTTCTAGTTTCTAGAATACCAGACAATGGACAAAGTAAAAAACCCAGTAATTCTGAATACACAGCTCAAATCCCAGAAGACTGAAATCTAACTGATACTTTGTTTGACCCTGTTTTCTTTTCATGTCTTTGACTTGAGCATCTCTTTCTTTGTGAACCAATAAAACATAAAGGTAAAGTTGTCCCTGTGCTTAACTAATTAAGCACTACATCATGAAGGCGTATGGGGGAGTGGATGTATAGATCCACATTTTCTTGACCTTGGCACTGGTTGGAGGTGAGTGGTCAGCTTCACGCCGCAGCCGCTTTACCCCCGAGGAAAGAGCCCCTGGTACCCATTGTTTAGGAAGTTGGGTGTACCCAGAGCCTGTCTGAATGACATGAAGGAGTAAAAATTCTTGCCTCACCAGGACTCAGACTTCGACTCCTCCATCCTTGAGCCCGTAGCCAGTAGCTATACTACCGAAGCTATCCCAGCTCCTTGTGAAGCAATCGCTACTACTATATAGGTCATGTTATACATACACACATACATGTGGAAGATCCTCTCTCTGTTTAATAATTTAAAAATTTTATGTTTGGCCAACTGAAATGTACATACTTTACCCATGTAGGAGGTGGGTGAAAATATTAACAGTAAATCAAACATGAAATGAACCAACAGCAGAACAAGAAATTAAAACCAGAGCTGCCAGCACATCATCTGAGGTCTCAAAATGAAAAATCCCTGTCCTTGGGAACCAAAATTAACATGGTAGGCGGTGTGTGAGTCAGACTACTTGTGGGAGGCCTACAGTGGGCAAAAATATATTTTATATCCCCAACTTACTTACTTACTCATGGAGCTGAACCCTTTTGGAGGAGCTGCCAATTCTGCAGCTACTCAAGAATTTCCCAGCATTTTATGGAACCTGAAGGTACATTACCGTGTTCACAAGAGCCCTCCACTGGTCCTTATCCTGAGCCAGATCAATCCAATCCACCCCATCCCATCCTATCTCTCTAAGATCCATTTTAATATTGTCCACCCACCTATGCCTTGGTTTTCCCAGTGGTCGCTTTCCTTCTGGCTTCCCCACCCATATCCTATACGCATTCCTCATCTCCCCCATTCGTGCTATATGTCCTGCCCACCTCGTCCTCAAATCAAACAAAAATTTTAAGAGTCAACCTCACAGAATGAAGCCTCAACAAGCAGTACCCTTGAGGTTCAAGAACATTACCCCAGGGAAAATATGATGGAAGTATGGGGTGTATGGGAAAGAAGAAATGCATGGATATGGGGCATGTAGACTGAAATGCAGGTAAGCACCTTCACTTTCTTACATGAGGGATATCAGATTGGCACCAGAGATAGAGGTGAGTTCACATCAACATAAAGTTTCACTGCTCTGCACTTTGAAACACACCTACTGAATTACAGATATGAAAAGTAATTCTGTAATGGTCATGTTAATACTATTGTGACTGCTGAGTTCCATGAGAAATCCGGAGATCAGTTTTGTTAGGTCATTATGGGTACAGACGTTTCACTGTATTGCATAGTCAGATTATTTTATTGTTATGAACTTCTGACATAAAGTTCTTTTCACCATTGAGCAAGGCAATATAATGCACATTGTGAAACAAAGAATTTTATCCAAAATACAGAAGTGAAAAGAATTATTCTCCCTATTCTAATTTACCTGAAGATTCTTTATATTAGTGACTCTTGTATTGATGGAAAAGTTTGTGTACCTGTTGAATGAAAGGATACTCTTCAAACCAGATGTTCACAGGAATGGTGAGTAATGTAAAAGAAATGGTACATCTTTGCTCTCTTTGGTTGTTTTGTATGTAATGTCTTTGACACCTACAAAAGGTATGGGCAGGGGTCTGTTTTCATTCACAGGTGGTGATGTTTTCATCCAGAACTTCCAATCTTTTTCTCATGAAATTGGCTACATAACAACAATCATCACTGGTGTCCAGATATATTTATCAATAACTTGGAGGGGCAGGTTTGATCTGCAGTTGGACCATCATTTTGAAGCCATGTTTATTCAGAAACATGTGAACTTACCCCTAATGCATTTCTTCCTGTAGTTTATGAATGAGGAACAGCTAACAGGCAGTTTATGCAGTTTGTTTTATGTTCATACCTTCAATAACAGGAGGATATTAATTCAACCATGAAAAATCTCTGTAAATAAATTTGATTTTTGCCAATGAAATGGCATGATTTTTTTGTACAGAAATATAACTCTAGAATAATGTTGTGCTGCAATTTTCATGTTGTATCATCTTGGGCAAGAAAACTGGCAAGTGCACTACTGCATAGCAGACTAAAATTGACTAAGGCTTTTGCTTTGTACAAATATCTGGCTCTTGAAACACAAACTCTTTTGAACACACAAAAGCAAATGTAGCATATGTAAGCATGAAACATTTATGTGGTCTTCAGATTATGGTCTCCTGGGCTGTGACACCATGCAGTCTGGTATGCACGTCCACATTCTGTGGAGCTGAATGATCAGTCACTTCCTTGCAGTCTGCCTCCATATAAGTGCATCCACACCCTACTGAGCAGGTGAAGGCTGCTTGTTCTATCCACCAACAACACTGCACTGTATCACAGTCCAGAAGACCACAGTCTGATCACACCCATGAAAACCACAAAACTTACGTAGTCTTGTAGGATCTGAGGTTATCACAGCCATATGAATTGTACTGTCATCTAGGATATAACACAGTGTAGTCTGTTGAAAGTCAACCAACGTTTCAGGTGATCATGTTGTTTCCATCTTCAGGGTCAAAGTATAAGCCAAGCAAGAAATCAGCATGAAACAGGAAACAGATGACACTGCGTTATGTCCCAGAAGACAGAACTATTATGTAGTCTTCTTTTGTTCTCCATAGAAACACATACTTAGGCTTGTTCAGTGTCACAACAATATCATAAATGATCTTCCTATGCATCTGTATCCTTTCAAAAAGCAACTTTTGGGACTCTGTTATGATTCTTTCTGTTAAGTATGGTTGGTATCTTGTGCAGTTATTGTGTAGTATGTTGGTTATCCTACATGATGTGTGTGTGTGTTCATGATTTGTTATAGATAGGGTTGCCAACTTTCACCTAAGTCAAAACCAGGCATTTTTTCTCCTCCCCCTCCTTAAGTATCTGAATAATAGATTTTATATTTGTGGTAGCTTTCATGGCATCAAAATCAGAAGTCCCCCCCCCCCAGATTCTGAGCATTAGCATAAGATTATTGGAAATCTTCAAGCTTTTAAAGTCGTTATAGTGATATGAGTAAAAAACCATAATTAAAGCTTTCATCTGCATTTATGCTGAAAACCAGTTCTGTAATCACACTGTGCATTTGAGCTGTAGTGAAACTTCAGTAAGAATAGAAGAATAAATTTTAATTCACAGGACACCAGGACACAACTATGTGATTTTATTCTAAAATATAACAAATTATAAATATAAACAATAAGGATAGAAGTAAAAGATGTACAATGCTATCTAAATATTTACCACTGCTGACCACTGCTGTGTCATGCCAACATCACACTTTGAATTTATATTTCTCCAGTGTAGCAACTTTGGCAAGTTCTTTTCCACTGTCACATTTCATGTGAATTTGCAGCTTCTATGCTTATCATATTGTAGTTTGAATGCACTAGAAGTTTGGCTTTTACTATTTCACCTTTCAGAAAGTTCCTTTTATTGTTCCAAATGTTTTGCACAACACAGAACACATGTTCCATGAAAGCATTTGATGGTGATATGACCAGAACATGTCAAACAATTTTGAGCAACCAAGGTGTCTTGTGTTAGTAAAACTAACCAAGATATTAGAAATATTATGCTTCTAAACACTTACTTTGTACCCAGAATGACTTAGTCATGAAACACTTGGTGCAATTTCTCCTTTAATAAGGGGAAAACTTCATTCAAATCACAAATTTCCAAAAGTAATGGGTTGCCATTCACTTCCACATTCAACAAATTCAGCAATCTAAGCATGGAATTCGTATCAGTAGGTCTGTCATGGTCTAGTGGAGCACAGAGTTTACAGGACAAATCTTCCCTGGAATCAGCCCATCTTATCAAGAGAGTCTAGACTTTGAGTGGAAAATCACTGATCATCCTGGATTTTGCTCTTAAGGAAAAAGTTTCTTCAAATGCTGTAAAACCTGGAGTCCATAGAAGTTCTCTCTACCTGTTGACAGATTATTTTTTCAACTTATTGAATACTGAGTGTATTTCAGGGATCTGTAATTGCTTTATACTTGTTTAACTTGTTTAATGTTTACATTAAACAAACTTATGAGATTGTGAACAAGCACAAGTATAGTTCTGGAAGAGTTAGTTCATCAGCAACTTCACAGTCATTTTTATTATTATAAAAAAAAACAAAAACAACAACAACAAATGTCCATGTTGCTCTGCTCACGTTTCCTTCACTTTGGCTCAAGAAGATAAGACTTTACTGCTTTTATAAATAATCTGTCCACAGCAGCAAACAAGGTCAGGAAGTGAGGAGGTACATGAAGAAAAGAACAGAGTACTCAGTTTCTGGGAGAAAAAAAAATCTTTTAACTCATCAAGTTTCTTTCCACTGGTTGAGAATTCATTAAACATTTTAATTACTAACACTTCAACATCAAATTACAGCAACTTTAGTCTGTCTTTGACATCATTGTGTAATATATGTATATGTATATTATAGTGGCCAGCAGTGAGATTAGGTGAATTGAATGAATGACAAAGAGGGAGACAGTCTCTAAAAATTTTTGATATTATTTCCATACTGACATGGTATGAACTTAAAAATGCAGTTTTGGCTACTTCTGAAAAAAAGGTACAACCTTCCATATACCAGGTTGTCTAAAGTGATTTGAGTTGAATGATAGGTGAGTTTTAGGAAATAATACTAAGTCAGAATGCTCAATTGACATAGGTTTTGAAAGCTCAGATTAAGCTATAATGTTTCACAATTTGCCCATGGTTTTCATTTAGTGTGAACTGTACTGAAAAGTATATGAAACGAAAGTTGTAAGTAATGCCAAAATATGCTTATATGTTGTGTGTCGCCCTCTGTTGTGGTATGAAGAGCCACATTTAGCCCTTTTAGTACTAATATTGTCTTAATGAAAGGGCACGCTGTAGTGTAGTTGGTGGAGGCAATATGCTACAAGCCAGTAGTCCCGCTGAGGTCATTGGATTTTTTTTTCAATTGACGTAATCCTTCCAGCCACCCCATGGCCCTGGGGTCGACTCAGCCTCTAACAGAAATGAGTACCAGGAATTAAATAATTTTCCTGGGGAGTAAAGCATGGCTGACATGCAAGGCTGACAACCTTACCGCCATCTTTGAGCCGATTGTCTAGATAATGTGGGACCCTCAATGTCTCACCACCCTATGGGCCTTCAGAGCCTCTTACAGGAATAGCTTTACTTTTATTATCTTAATGAAAGGCTGAAGGTTCTAAGAACTGAGCACAATGAGTTAATGGAGTTTAATTCAATCTTTATGTTATAACTTCCCTCTCACCTTACCTTTTGTTAAACTCAATTATTATCTTCTCTCGCCCACACATGTTGGTCGCACTTGTAGATACTTTTTCTTGTACTAAATTATATTTCAGAGTTGTTTAATTTATAAGGAGGTGAGGTTTGTTGATTTGGTAGAGCTGAGGGTCTCTTTTTCTCAGAGGCTTGAATGGGCTACAACTTGGAGAAGCAGAAATGAACACAAACTACAAAAGCACATATCAAGTTTAGATGAATTATTGTTATTGAACACTTGTTGAACCACTTCTTAATACAACTTCAAATCAGTAACTTTTACGTCTTGTTTGTATGAGATCTGATGTGTAATCTTTACAGCTGATTTCCTCAAGGGGCGGAGTGTGACTCCCTTCGACAACTGACTTCCTTTCGAACCATCAGTTTCTTGTTCCATCAGTGTCTCAATTCTATCACACCCTTAAAATTTAGTGATTGGTTACATTTGAAAAATAGGAGTATCTTTTAATTAGCTATTCCTCCACTCCATTTAAGGATTACAAGGAGTTTAGGTTTCTGAGCTCAAACTGTCAACTGTCCAACTTTCTGTCAAAATCATGACAAATGTTAAGCTTGGCTTGGATTATAAAAACTTCCCTATTTTAAGTTATGGCATGCACAAGCTGTCAAGTATCAAATTCACAAAAGATTTTGTAGTTACACTTTCAAGTAAAATTTCTAAGAACTCTTGATGGGGTGTCTTCCTGTTCTCTGCACTTGTGAGAAGACGCTAACTCTTACATGCAAGAATAGACCTATGTCTCACTGCACTTGTTCATTGCATCCCATTGTGAACAATTAAAATTTCTAATTAATAAAAAAAAACATTACATTTAAATGGTTGCATGACAGTGGTACAGTTACAATGTAAAATTGAGGTTATATTGAATTAGTATGCATCAGAATTAAATTCATCTGACACCCCAGTCATTTTGTAGATGAAGCATGAAACATAAACCTTTTGAGTATGCCTGATGATGTTGTGCAGTAGCCTTTTTCATTAATATTTTGGGCACTGTCCACTGTCCCAATTTTTCATACTGCAACAACTCAGAAATTGGTTGTCTTTTCTTATACTGGCGAAAAACCTGCCTTGGGTTTGAGAGTGGCATTGCTGAGGGGTCAATAGAGTACAGATCCTTACTTTCCATTGAGAGAAGGGGACAGATTCAGTCTCTAAAACATGTGGTTTGAAAAAAATTTGGATGACAGACAGTGTTTAAAATATCAGTGTTTGATGTTCTGCAACTTCCCTGCCATTTAATGCATATCATTAAAGCATAACAGGCCCTTCACAACAGCAGCAGCTGAGAGGTGCTGGAAGGTGTTGTAATGTATGGAGGCCCAGTCTGCTGCAAAACTTAAATGAACAGTACAGTTGTTTGTGATGTATAATCAAAATAATTTCTGTTCAGGTTCAGAGGTTCATGGCCTGAACACTAGAAGGAAAAATCAAATTTATATTTCAGCTTTCAGAAGGGCACTACGTTTACTGGTATTAGGTGATTTAATAGATTGCCAAAGACCATTCAAAGTCTTAGAAAGGATAGAATCAGTTTTGAAAATAATTTATTTTCGTATCTCATGAATAACTCATTTTATACAGTTAATGAATTTTTGGAGCATACAGTAAATAATTAGTTACAGTGTTTGTTTAGCTTTGAGTTGTCTTTCTGCTTTGTTTGCTTGTTTGTGTTATGCTTGTGACCACTTTCTTGTCCATTGTACTTTGTACTTGTGATTGAAATACTATATGTATGTATGTATACACATTGCATTTCTGAGGAAGGACTCTATCTTCTGTCCATCTTGTTCTTCTGAAGTCCCTATTATAACGTGCATTTCAGTCCAATTAGTTTTATGCACTAACAACTGAAACCATTCCTAATATATATACACATATTGGGTATATATGATTTGCATGTAATATTATAAACTTAGTACAATATAGGACATTACTTATTGCAAAGAGTTTTATCCTCTGTGATATAACACTGCTTTGTCTGTTGAAAGACAGCTGACATTACAGAGGACCATGTTGCCTCCTTCTTCATGGTTGAAAAGTAAGCCAAACTTTACTTGCTGTCTGCTTCATGCTGGTTTCTTGCCTGGCTTACTCTTCAGCCATGAAGATGGAGGCGATATGCTTTCAACAGAATACATGGTATTGTATCACAGAAGATAGAAATCTTCATAAACTCCACTGTGAGAACGTCAAATCCTTCTTCTTTATTGTATTTTCACCATCTTTTATAATGTTATGAGAAAAAAGTGCTTCTTAAACTGCCATTTTGGTTTCCTGGAATGCTAATTTTATATTATTTTTGTTAAGAAATTGAACATGCATGAAGTTGCTTAAGAGCCTCGCCCATCAGAGGCCAGTCTTGTGACAGAAATACCACATTCTTGCAATTTTAACTTGAGGTGAAGACACTAACACTCACTTCTTCTGTTCTTCTCACAGACGCCTGTCCAAACGTGAACAATTAGAGGATCGTCAGGGTGTGATTAATGAAGGTTTTGAAATGGATCCTCCAAAGTCTCCATGGAGGTATCCATTCTCTCGCACCATGGCAGCTGGCAGTAGGGTACCAGTCAGAATGGGAGGAGGCTTAAGCAGGGCTCCTGGTAGTGTTGGGATCAGAGATTTCAACAGGAGCACATCACAGGATTCTCAGACCAGTAGCTGCACAGGTTCAAGTGCGGCATCAAGCCTAGGGTTGTCGTTTCTGCACAAGGAAACTCTGCCACCAGTGCACAGTGACCCTGCTGTCTCTGCATGTAGATCTGCATCAAGAGCAGACTAACCATTGACAGTGCCACCATATCCTCCAAAGGTTGTGCCAAAGGCTTATAAAACACACTCAAACAACGCTCATGTCTAGAATAGCAAATTACAACAGAGGAGTGATTGGAGGAAATCTGTCACTCAGGTTCTGGACTAAACTCTGATCTGCTCTTTACAAACGATGTACATTATGAAGCTGGAATGGGTGGAAAGGTTTTCTTTTTAGGTAAGAATCTTAGGGTCATGTCAGTAGCAGTCCCAATGCAATTGAAAGTATCTCATCTAGAGTACCATTACAGAAGATTTAAACATGAATAAACAGAATCCGAAGTTTGATACTATACCATCTCCTTATAAATTTATTTACATTTAATTTGAAGTAAGATTTTTATTACGATGTTCCTTTTTGCAGCCTGGTCTGTAGGTTGATCAGTCCATAGTCTGGGCTGTCTGGGGTAAAGACTGTTCATGAGAATGCACTAATGCAGAGGCTACATTATGCTGCTGCTAAGGCAGTGAGTTGGTACATCTTCACACTTTTCATTTCACAGATGTGACTAGCCATGCCAGAAGCAGACATTTTTATGCAAGTTTTATTTTTCCATCAACTTTAAACTTACACTGTGGTCACCTACATTGTGAAACCATGTAGTCTGATTGGTGGTTACTAGCATCTCGGAAGAACGTTCTGCCTGAACAGTTAAGATTGGAACAGTAGGTCCCCCCCCCCAAAAAAAACTGCCAGACTACAGGTTGTTATAACCCAGAAGACCACAATCTAAATCTTCACAGTCATGAAAACCTGAGACCTAATATTTTTTACAATTATAAACTTAGTCATAATATACTAGTAAATAATATGAATCAGAGTAGTGATGTCAAGATTAAGTTATAGATTCCAACACATTTAGGGTCTAATAAAACAGATCACATTAAGAAGAATAAGAAACCATGTGGTCCACAAACTGTATGAGACAGTGGCTGTGCCAACACAGGTACACAGGCCTGATGGTGATGGTGATGGTGCTGGTGTCTCAGTAAAGTAAAAGGACTGGAAGTGCAGAAATCAAACTGCTGAGGTCTAAGACAGGATGCATACCATATGAACATACATATAATGAAGAAGCGAGATAAGAACTTCTTCCAACAAATGTTGTTGAGACTACTGAGAGGCCAGAGAACCATCTGACTGCAACATGTCCTGAGGATAATTCTATAAAAAGCCATAGATATTGGTGAAGTGTAAGTCAACAGGAAAACAAGACAAACTGGGTGGAAGAACTAATCTTAAATATGCAGATGGAGCAGGTCTAGTGACCTAAGCCTTGGTGATATTGATAATGATTATGTTGGATTTTAATGGGTTATATTCTAATTTACGTAGGTCTGTAGGTATGTAACACCACAATGATGTTGTAATGTAAGTTCAAAACTTATTAAAGATCATTTATAATAACAACATGTAGAAACAGAAGCCCATATGCATTATGTGTACCTTATAATTTCATAAAGTTCAAAATATAAGCTTTTATGTTGCCAAAATCATGCAGAAATGTATGGTTCATAATTGTATTTTTAATTGAGCCTAGTCCATATCAGCTTTCTGCTGCTGTTGTGTTTATGCCACAGATAGAGAACTGTCAGCATTTTAATTATTAAATATAGTGAGTTCAGTTTCTTTCTTATATTATTGTAGTTTAAGTAGAACTTTAATTAGAGACATACCTTTATGGATCTGGCTTATGGGCCTGGCTATTATAGATTTTAACTCAGAATGAGTGCAGCAAGATTATTCTAGTTTTGTTGTCACCCTACATAGTAACAAAATCACTGTCAGTTTTTTCACAATCATGTAATGCTCAGAGAAAGCAGTCTTCTGGGATTTGGCACCGTGTATATGTGGTGTTAACCGACGTTTCGGAGGAACGTATCGCCCCCATCTTCAGGGTTGAAGAAAAAGTATAAGTAAATCTGCAAGCGACAACACAAACGTCGGTTAACACCACATATACACGGTGCCAAATCCCAGAAGACTGCTTTCTTCATAGTCACCGCCGTGAAAGCCTCAAATCTTACATGTAATGCTCAGCTTACATCTTAAACTGTTACGAATAAAATATCCTTTAGGGCCACTGTTTGTTTCTGCTCTGAGCCACTATGGTCCTGCAACTCCTTCAGTATGGTAACACATATGTCATTGATTTTCTGAGGCAATGGAAAGGAGTAAAAATTTTCTCACAATTGTCTGAATAACACTTTTACTTGTCTTTAACCTTCCTATTTTGCAGACCCTGAACATTATTTTATAAAAGACTGAGGATATTTCAGTCAGGGATACAGGGTGCGTCACGAGAATTCAATTCCTGGAAGGGGTAGATATTCTTTTCTTCACTATCATATCTCACTATCCCCAAGGCCCACAGAGTTGACTACTGCTGAGCTTAAGGTGGGAGCATTGCATCCACCCTCACACACATCTGTATGGCATGGTGCTAATTGAAGGGATATGTTTCCCTTTTTTCTTTACCAAGTGTCTATTCCTGCTGTGCCCTGAACTTCTTTACTCCACAAATTAAATAATGCTGTCAAACCCTAAAAAGGAAAACATTCTAATACTTAAAAGAGTTCTGTCTTCTGGGATATAACTCTGTGTAGCTCATTGAAAGTCAGTTGATGTTTTGGAGAAACATGTCTTCATCTTCTAGTTCAAAGAATAAGCCAAGCAAGAAACCAGAGTGAAGCAGTTCCATGATGGTTTATTGCTTGGCTTATACTTTATATGGAAACTCTCAATGCAAACAGAAGGCAGTGCAACTTGCTAAGCAATGACTCTGTGAATAATGATTGTTGCTAGACAGTAGCTCCTTTGACATGTCATGAAACAATAGAACTTCTGAGAGATGTGTTTTCTATGCAGTCTCTGCTGAGGCTATGTAAGGAGTGTGGTGTAGTGAAGTGGCTTGGTTGGTGACTGACTTAGTCTCTAGAGTCTTGAGACGGAAGTTAGAAGAGTAGGAGTGAGTTGTGTGACAGCCACCTGCCAGTAAGGGCGTGAACACATAAGCTGAGGAACCTATGACATAGAAAGCCATTACCAGTTGATAGTCGCCGAAGATACAGGAGACTGAGAAAACTGAGTGTGTGCTGTAGTGAATTGTAGAGTGTGTGAATTAGCAGAAGCACTATAATTACTTATAGTTAAAATCTGTAAGTGCTCAATAAAGCCAATTACCTATCCATATCCTAATATAATCACATTCAATCACGTAATAATATATATAAGAGGTTTTCAATGGAATACATGACATTACATCCCAGAAGACAGAACCCTTCAGAACCGCGGATTTGAGAACTTCAAATCCTACATTCTAGTACTTCATGTGAAACCCTTGAAATAACTTATAGAAAATAATGTAGAGGAAAACAAATTGGAAATCTTAAAATGTTCACAGATCAGCTGAAAAGTTACTTGTTAGGTGCAGGAATGAAATGAGCCACATTTCTTGGGTACTGCAGCCTCAGATTGGTGTATTGTATCAGTCTCTGAGGGCTTAATTGCAAAAGTTGGGTGAGACTGAATCCTTTGGTACTGCAGAAGGCTTGATATACCAGTCCTGATGATTTGATTTAGTTTTAAAAGTGTATGGTACTGGTTCTCTTGGTACTGCTGTTACACATGGGCCTCTTGTACCAGTCCCTAATGAGTTAGTTGTAGGAGTGGAGTGGCTCTGAGTCTCTTGGTCCTGAAGCCTCAAATGGGGCTATTGTATCAGCCCCTGATGAGCTGGATGCAGGACTGTGGTGAGACTGGTACTGCATATTCAAATGGGCGTATTGTACCAGCACCTGATGAGCTAGTTGCAGGAGTACAGTGAGACTGATAGTACAGCCTCAAATTGGTCTATTGTACCAGCCCCAGATGAGTTAGCTGTAGGAGTGGGCTGAGACTGAGTCGCTCAGTATTGAGGTCTCAGTTGTTGAAGTGGGGTAAGACAGAGTCCTTTTGTGCTGTGGCTTCAAACAGGCATATTGTAACAGCTTCTTATGATAAATAAGTTTAGAACGTGAGTGGAATGATGAATGATGGGTAAACTGAAGTGCTCAGGGAAGAACCTGCCCTAGTGCCACTCTTTCCACCACAAATACTGCATGAACTACCCTGAAATTGAACTTGAATGTCAGCAGTGAGAAACCAGCATCTATCCATCTGAACTATGACATGAAACTTAAAAATAGCTTTTTAGTTTTATAATTAGTATTCATTCGGTATAGCATAATGAAGTAATTAAATGTGAATGTCTTATTTGAAGTTTGTGGCGATGAAGAAAATATAATTTGTGGAAGGTAAACAAGTTGAATGGGCCCAGGTGTGAACTTGAAGACAGAGACATTTGTTACTACACAAAGAATATATAATAATGACATTACTTTTCTTTAGGCTGCATTCATTCTCAGTACCTCCTGGAGGTACTGGATCATCCCCACTATCTTGTACAAGGGGTACTTGCATTCTGGGGTTTAAATTGAATTTGTTAATTTCCTGGTAGAATACATTTAAGGTATGAAACTTAAAGAGAACTAAACAAAATATGGTGGAACAGAATTATATACACTTGCAATGTCTGAGTATTAAAGCCTTGCTAACGATGATAAGTTCTGCAGCAGCTTTGTTTGTATTGCCACTCAAAATCAGAATTCTAATCGCTTTCAATTTAATTTGGTTTCTAGGACAGCAGCAGAAAATGAACTTGAAATTTCCGTGTGGTAGCAAGTGTCATATAAAATTACATACAAGAGATAAAATTAGATGCAAATTTTCAACCGGTATTTAAGTGCCTCTTTTAAATTCCAAAATTACAATTATTTTGTCCTTTACTTTTGTAAATACGAACAGAAAGACATTCAGATGTACTCATTTGTTTCATAAAGCAAACAAAACAATTTTTGCAGAATGAAAGGGAAATATTGGCAATAGTGAAGACAGCGTCTTCTTTCATTTTATGATGTTGTGATTCTAATTTCTAATGGCACTATAAAGGTGAGTAACGAAACGTCTCCAGCTGCATTTTATAATATAGCAAATACACTTTATTTTATATCACATTGACCCTTTTATACATCTCATTATCTTCTGTAGTGTGATTATTTTTGTAAAAGTTTGTGATTACTTCATTTGTCTTCTGTTAATGTCCATTTTTATGCATATACATATATAAACATTAAGTTGGTGTTCCTATTTTTATGATAAGTTATGAAATGTGTGTGACTGTGATGTATGCATTGTTAATTGATATCTGTGTACATTGAAGTATCATAGAATAAACACATTCTTATCAACATTGAGTATTTTTTCCAATGATCTGTTCATGTAAGACCTTATATCATGGAGAAAGCAGTCTTCTGGGATTTGGCACCGTGTATATGTGGTGTTAACTGACGTTTCGGAGGAACGTATCACCTCCATCTTCAGGGTAGAAGGAAAAAGAAAAATATAAGAAATCCGCAAGCGAAGAGACCGTGAGAAGCTTTTACCGGTTCTCACGGTCTCTTCGCTTGCGGATTTCTTATATATTTTTTCTTTTTCCTTCTACCCTGAAGATGGAGGCGATACGTTCCTCCGAAACGTCGGTTAACACCACATATACACGGTGCCAAATCCCAGAAGACTGCTTTCTTCATAGTCACCGCCGTGAAAGCCTCAAATCTTACACCTTATATCATGTTTCATGTATAATCTGCTGGAAAATGAACGTTCAAATCTGAAAGCCATGAATTACACTTATGTCGAATTCATTGCTTTCCATTCGGTTTTCTTACAAATAATGTTGCCATCAGATGCAGCTGAATGGAATAATTACATTGTTATTATCACCAATCCATTCAATGATCTGCCCGCATGTTTTGACCCTCAAATAAGTTATTATCAGTGGCCTAATTTTATACAGCAGAAAACCAGCTTAAAGTTTACCACCTTCTCCTGTAACCAAAATCTATCTAAATTATCAAAATTTGTCAGAATTATTTTACAGTTCTGTCTAGTGAGAACTATTCCTGGGCACATGTCGGAAGATTTCATACAGGCATTTTTTGTGTATGCTCCATGCCATCAAGTTGTACATATTGTGGAGATATACTTTTGATTTTCAGTGCTAGATGCATGTGCAGCCAGCATCATACTTTAGCAGCTCTACGCCCAGAAAACGAACATTCTGGTACTCATTGCATGCTAGGCTTGCTATAGCCTATGTTTGTCAGTGTAGAAGGGGTAGCGCGAGAGAGAGGGAGAGGGATAGTACGCATAGGATAGGACACCTTACCGACCGAACTCCCGGCAGTGGCGGCGGCATATCTGTGGAAAATAGATGGCCGCATTCTTATAATACCGTGACGACACGGAGGACTCGGAGAGCTCGGAGAGTACTTTGCCAACCAATAAAATGTAGTTGCCTTGCATATAGATGCCTCAACATTTGATTGGTCGGGTTATTCTAGCGCCTGGGTCCCTGGCGTCTCTGAGTCGGCTGTGATTGCTGTGATACCGACGTCACGAACTGTTTACAGCAGTACCATAAATACTTGCATCCTCGATACTGGACATTACGTTGTTAATGTAAGTGTGTAAGTTGTGGTTATTCTTTAGGGAATCATTAGGATTATTCGGTAGAAATTCAGTTTCCTCATATTTTGACAAATTATGGTGCTCGTGATATTATTCCGCTGTTGCAAGTTCTAGTTGGGTTTCCGCTAAACTTCTCGTCGCCCGCTCCGAGGTTGATGTTACTAGTAGACTGCACATTTTTACAGCTCTATGTCCTTTCTCGCCTGTTACATATACAGATCCGACTTATAAAGGAAGTCGTGAGAGCTGATGGGCT